ATACCGTCATGTACCGTGAAACCGGTATAATTTTGAAAAATACCGTGATATAAATTTTTGGTCATACCGCCCGGCACTATCCAGGGTCACATATTATAAACATTAAACAGGATCTTCTCTTTTGAAATAACACTTGCTGTACAGTGACTTCAGAAAGAAACGCATAAATATAGTAGAAATACAGCACGCGCAGATGTCACATTAACATATGTAAGCATGCATTTGCATATCAACATCCATTCAGTATTTAGCAACCTCATGCAGAGTCTTAAAGGAACAGTTTAAGTGTAAAGGTCAAAAAAGATGGACAAGAATGAATAAAACTCACCAAACACTCGGCCGGGCGTTCCAGCGACCACATGCTGACCGTAGTCCAGCTTCCGGATGTCCTCGCCCACGTTTGTGCCTCCGATACAGGTGTGACACTGAACGTTCATGTAGTCGCCCAACGCCAGCAGCACCTGCAGAACACAGGAAATGACATCGTGTCAGACAAGCGAGCTTAGAAACTATGAAACAAATGTGCAGCCTTTTTTTATTCTTGTTTTACCTTCTGGATCTGTCCTGCTAACTCTCTGGTCGGAGCTAAAATCAGCGCTTGAGTCTCTCGAACCTGAAGTCAAAAAAGGAATTGAGACATTTTTGTGACGGAGGAAACAGGATAGGCTGTTACTGAAAAAAAGGGGAAAAAAATCATTATTTGAAATAAAAAAACATTAACTGAAATTAAATAAAAATACATTAAAGTAATAAACAAAATAAAAAACATTTCAGCTAGTTTCCAAGGCAACTTTTAAAATTCATAAATTAATGTCTAGCTTAAGTGTAAGTACTAAAATAAAAATAAATATTAATAAAAAATTACAGCCATAAAACAAATAAAAAAAAAATAATAATAATAATAATAATTTTATTTCAGCTAGTGTCCAAGACAACATGCCTTTTATTTAGTTTAAGCTGATGTACTAAAATATCTCAAACTTAATAAAAACTACAGAAAGTAAAAAATAAAAATCAGCTAGTTTCCAAGGCAACATTTTTGTCTAGTTTAAATTAAAACTACATTAAAAACTACATATACATATTTAAAAAATAATAATAAAAAGACAAAAACACAAGATTACTAAAACTTTAAAATTAAAACAGAAAATATAAAAATAAAATCTAATTTAAAATAAGACAACAGTATTTTAATTATACCTAAATATCACTGGAAGGAAATCAAGACTCTCATTTTCAGAAGTAAACGCAAAACGCACCTGAATATCCAAACACTGCAGCACTGAGATACAGAATGTGGCTGTTTTACCCGTTCCAGACTGTGACCTGGAGAAGAAAAGACCATTCAAACAACAAAACCAGACATAAACACGTGTTTATTGCACTTTTTTACTGACTCACTGGGCGATGACGTCTCGTCCCTTGATGATCTGTTTGATGGCTCGCTGCTGGATGGCTGAAAACAGTAAACACATAAATATTCATTAAAACAAACATTCATGGTATTTACATAGTGCTGTGTTAGTGAGCGGAACAGTCCAGTGACAAGACATTATCCTAATGATAAACATCCCATAATATAGCAATGAGACTGTAAGAATCAAACAACAGAATTTAATTCTGATTTCTTTCTCACACACACACACACAAATAGATAAAATGTATAATAATAAATACAAATAAATAATAATAATAAAAGAAATAATAAATAAAAAATGTAAAACATAAATAATAAAATTAAATAAATAAAAATAACAAATTAAAACAATAAAAAATAATAAAATATGTACAAAATAAAAAATAAATAATAACAAATTTAAAAATAAATAAACATAATTCTGATTTCTTTCACACACACACAGATAATAAAATAAATAAATAATAATAAATAAATAAAAGTCAAGGAAAAATAAAATTTTTGGTAGATCAAGAAGTGAATGTTATAAAAAGACGGGAAATATTGACATTGGCAAATTAAAGGAAATGCAGCAAAATATTGAAAATACCACAATGTAAAGTTAGTTAGTGAAAAAGGAAGGCCCACCTCCTATATTTGATAAAATCAATATTGCATTGGCAGACATACGGTGGATGTGTGGAAAAATATGGCCTCTTGCCAACATTACCAGAAAATTGGTCAGGATTACTAGGGTTATGCTGACACAAAAAATGAGTCATGTCGCTCTAGAAGAGGAAACAACAAATGAAGAAAAAACTAGAACCAAAAGAGCAGAAAAATAATAATAATAAAATAAATAATAAATAAAAAATTTAAAACATAAATAATAAAATTAAATAAATTAAAATAAATTAAAACAATAAAAAATAATAAAATATGTAAAAAACATTTAAAAAACAACAAATTTAAAAATAAATAAACAATAATTCTGATTTCTTTCACACACACACAGATAATAAAAAAAAATAATAATAAATAAATAAAAGTTAAAAAAATAATAATAAAATAAATAATACAAAATGTAAAACATAAATAATAAAATTAAATAAATAAAAACAACAAATTAAAACAATAACAAAATAATTAATAAAATATTTAAAAACATTTAAATAAATAAACAAATATAATTTAAAAATGAAGAACGACAGAAAATAGATTTTTTTATATAGCTTTAAGAGCTTTTATATATAAAACCAATGACTACTGACTGAATTATACTAGCCTGGATGTTGAGTTTAACACAGTAAACATACAAAAGTACAGTCTCCTCAGTTTCTGATAAACATGATAAACAAGGGCCGGCTTCATCAGTGTAACGGTGTAGTTCAGATCTCCTAATAAAGCACATGTAGGGCTCATGAATGAGTGGCTGTACCGCACGCGTAGACCTTCCCTCAGGCCCATCGGGTCAAACGTCGGCGTCACATCCACCTCTTCGCTCGTCTCAAACTCCACTTTCGTCATGTCTTCCTCCTTCAGGAGCCTCTTCCTCGCGGGAGCTGCGGCGGCGGACATAATCAACACAGATTTCTGATATAAACTACGAGCTGAAATATGAAAGCGCGTCGGTGCGCGACTACAGCCCGAACGGAAGAGCCGCGCGACGCAGCTGTGACGCACAAAGCAGGAGACGCGCGGTGACGTCAGGCGGACTGGCCACGCCCACTAAGCGTTCTACAGCCTTGAAAATCATAAGCAGTTCTCTCCTTAAACATGAAGAGAGCAAACTACAGATTCAATGAGTACATTCAAATTTCACAAAAAGCTTTGCGTTGTGAAAAAGCATTGAAGAGAGTTGCTGTTTTGTCTCTTCTGAGGGAGATTCATTCGCTTGTTTGCTAATGAACCGCAGAGAAACTTTGATCAGAGTTATTAATGTTCATCTGATCTCTAAAGCAGTGGAAACTGCATCTCTATATTCATCTGTGTGTCCTCTTAAATGCATGGACACATTGAGCTTAATATGTAAATAAAGTTTATGGAAATTCAACTGATTATAAACAATTCTCCAGTCCTGAAAACTGGTTTTAAAATTCCCTTACATTCCCAGCTTTTCCTTGACTGTGAATCTTGATCAAAGTGTTTCCAACAAATTCTCATCACCTAAATCTGCTCATCTTAGAGAAATAAACTGGCACCGTTCTTTAGTTCGGACAACTAGAGCAAATTCAAGCTCGACTGGTTTATCGTGAAATAAGACAGAAGCAGAGATCCGACTCAAGACTCAGATTTATTATGGGATGTTCCAGCGAGCCACAGAGGAAAAAAACAGTCCGAGACGAGACGACGACGTCTACTGGTCCTTCAGCTCCTTCAGACGCTTGATGGCAGATTTGACCGTGACGGCTGACGTGGTGCTACAGGACAGACAGCAAACATTAGACTCAGATGCTCTGAGACGCTTGCATTAATCACCTGATCGCTCTTACTTGTACGTCCAGGCACCGCCAGCCACGGTTTTCATGCAGGAGCCACAGTGCCAGATCCCCACAGCCTTTCTCTTCATCTTAGTCTGGACAGAGACAAACAGCTTAACCTCACAGAAACCGCATCGAAGCCTCTGTCTGGCGTGCGTCTCACCTTGCCGCAGAAGGAGCAGGTGTATTTGGCGTGCTGGCTGATCTCGATCTTCTTCACCATCTTCCTGAGCGACGCACCGTAACGAGTGCCGTACTTCCCCACAATCCCCACCTTCTTGGTGCGCTTGGCCTGAGCAGGAAAAACAAACGAGCGTTTCAATAAAAGCAGAGTATTTCATAACGGGGAGAAGAGCATGAGGCTGTTGAGCTCCTGAACACTTTGAATGAGCAACACTGACTTCTGATGAGAGTCAGGCTTATTATGGAAGCTTATGTACGCCACAGCATAAAATTATAAGATATTTCAGACTTTATCCTCACACTTTCTTTTGTTCTCATAATTGTAATATATAAACTGAATTGAAAGGGGAAAAAAATCTGAATTGTGAGAGAGAATCATGATTACTTTTATTAGTTTAATTCCATGACAGAAATAAGCTTCCAAAGCTATAATGGAATTGTGAGGGGAAAAAAGTCACATTTCTCAATTGAGAAAAAGTGTCCAAATTGAGAGATCGAGTTGCAATTAACTTAATTTTTCTTCTTCAATGGCGAAAACAAACATCCATAGTTATAAACTCACAACCTGTTTATATCTCATAGTTCAGGCTACGAGATATAAACCCCCGAAATTATGAGTAAAAAAGTCTGAATTGTGAGAAGTTGCAAATGTTTCTTTGGTAACATTTTACAACACAGTTCATTAGTTAACTACTTTCGTTAACATGAACTAAGAATGAACAATACTTCTGCAGCATTTATTAAACTTAAATGTTAATTTCAACATTTACTAATGCATTATTAAAATCGAAAGTTGTGCTTGTTAACATTAGTTAATGCACTGTGAGTTAACATTAACAATGAACGACTACATTTTCATTAACATTAATAAATACTGTAATAAATGTATTGTTCGTGTTAGTTAATACGTTAACATTATCGTAAAGTGTAACCCTTTTTTTATTCCGTGGCAGAAATAAGCTTCTATGGCTATAAACTCTAAACTGTAAACTTTTCTCCTCACAACTCTGAGAATTACGAAAAAAGTCTGAATTGAGATACAAGTTGCAATTACTTTTTTATTCCGTGGCAGAAATAAGATTCGATAAACCTGCAACTGCAAGTCAACTAGACTTGTGCCGGTATTCGGTAATGCGATATATCACGGTAATGAATATGCACGATATTGTTATCGTGGG